GAGGTCTCAGTGGTGTTCAATGAACATTTGCCCTCTTGACTGGCATGCCCCATGTGCGTGGGTTGCAATCAGCACAGCCTCTCCTTCTGCCTACTGGAAATCTGCAGGAGGAATTAGCAGTTAAAGGTGAGCATGGGGGTCTTCAAATAGTCTGCCTCCCGAGTTAGGGCATTAAGTGCCACCTCAGAAGGATCCCAGGAAGATTTGTGGTTATGTACGCAATGGTCAAGGAGCAGGTTTGGTCTCTGCAGTATGGTACTTAAGAGATTTCTAGCGACCGTCCCGTGTGTATGCATTTGCCACTGACTGTGGTTTTCGGGGCAATGCTTCTTACGTTATTCTGCACTGTTAGCTGTAAAATGTTGTTTTGAGCAAAAGACTATTGCTCTGAAATATTTGACTAACCACACACACACACAAAGTGTGGGGGCCTTAGCTTCTCCCAACTAGGCATCCAAACTTAGTGGTAAACTCTCTTTCTGCCTGATCTGCAGTAGTGTGACAGCTTCTGCTTACTGTACTTCATGCACTTAACAACCACTGTTTTTTGTAGCTGGTTCCTCTGGTAGACCGACCTCTCCCCGCACCCCCCATGGCACTTAAGAGTTTCAGAAGTTCTTGGTGTCTCTCAAAACCGAGGTTGTAGTGGCTCAGTCCTAAATCTGAAAAATGGAGATGCTTCTTGGTATTTTTGCCTCCATACCATCTTATTTGAGTAGATACTGTGAAATAAACCTGTGTCTTTAAAGGACATAAGAGCTGCTGCAATGACAAGCGTAGGAAATCCATAACTAGGTTTGGAAGTCTGTGTTTGACCAGCCCCCAAAGGCATGGGCTTGAATGCTGGTTAAAAGTGAAAAAAACCCAAAATACCAAATAGCTTGTTTCTTTGCAAGTATTATCTATCTGCACAAGAACTGTTGTAGCAAACCAAGATCTTGTAGTTACCTTCATGCTTTTGTTAAGAAGGAAAAAAAAAGTTCCCCCCCAACACAGGTTTAGTGTCCTATCCATCTACATCTGATTGCTTTGGTCTCGAGCAGCGTGTTGGTCTGGCAGCAGTTGCCCTGCAGTGAAGTGTGTTGTTGCTTCCTCTGGAGGGAACCATCTGTCAGAGTAGCAAAGCAAAACCTGTTTCTATTTCCTCAGAGATTCTGCAGACTATCTTCCCTTCAGAGTAGGGAGTTACAAGACAGGTCTTGTCCTGTTGGGAAGATACCCACTTCCATGCCCACTAAATTTAAATTAATGTCTGGAAACTTAGTTGAATCCAGCTGATTGATTACCTTCATACTTAGCCGAATCCAGTCTGATTTGAAAAAATTAGTTTGGGCACCTGTTCTTAAATATCTGAAAAGCTTTGAGCATTCCTCCCTAGTTTTCTTCAAATTTCTGGAGGTTATGAATATACAGGGACTTTGTTATTTACTTCAAAGGACTTGGAATGTGGCTTGCTTTTTACATTTATTAATTTAAGTAATAATTTTAAAAAGATATTTAGATATATATTTAATTAATTTAGACAGAGTCTGGTTCTTTAGGTGCTGTGTGCCTCTTCTTTAATACCACACATGTCCATTTATTTCAAGGAGAGCTGAATGATACTCGCATGAGGTCATCATATTGTGTTTTTTATTGTCATGGATTCTCTTTGTGTGCCTACAAAATAAATCAGTTTATTTTGTTCTTTTTGTAATCCTCCCTTATTCGAAGCAACTCTGGTGGAGAATACTCCACCAATGACTTATAAATTTCTGTTCCTTCCTGTGTAAGAGAAACACAGGTGGATATTGTGTTTTTTTACAAAGAGTATCTGTCGCAGCCGAATACTAACACAATACGCCGTCTTATAGCTCTCAGTGAAGCAAAAGACAAATGGGTGGAGGTATTTCTTAAGTGCACACAAGAGAGAACATCCAGAAAAGTTATAATTTGAGGGGGGTTGCTATTGCTGTCACCAAAGTTAACAACCAAGTCAGTTAATAGATTCAGAGCCCAGTTAAGTATATGATAAATTCTGAGTTGTATAAAGCATTTTGGAGAAAGGGGCTGTTTGAAATGTGAATTAACACAGCCTCCCATATATTTTGATCAGTAGTCCAGACCCATCTATAATTTTATCAACTGTCTTAGGAATGAGAAAATGACATTTTGCTTGTCCAATTTTTTGTGGTTATCTTGCAAAACCTGCTGACTTGATATTTTCACAAATTTGGTACCATCCATGAAGCAGGACAGATCAGGGCTAAGGCTCCGTGGTGGCATATATGGAGAATACCAGGAAGAGAGATGTGAATTTTAACTTAAGTGTTCTCTGCAGTGTATTTATCCCCAGCAAGAAAACAAAATGTGACTAGGGCAGTCCATGGAAGAGGAAGAGGAAGCGCAGGATTGACTTGTTATGACACCAGTTTGTGTTTCGCCATCTCAGCTTGATCCTGCATGGATGGGTAGACGTCAGCACTCCTGTGTTTGTGTGTGAGGCTGCCTATGCATGGGTGTATATCCACTGCATATGTACGTCTGAGCGGATTGCGTGTTTCTCTCTGGCTGTGATTTTACCCATTTTGTGTGTGTGTGGTGTTTATATGGCTCTCTGCCAACTTCCTACGAAATTATCTGTCAGAGCTTTTCCTGTGGCCCTGATAGCTGTTTGCTTTCGGGTTTGGGAGGGGTGAAACGCCAGGAGGGCGGGGTGTCCAAAACAATCAAAAAGGACTGGCTTTTATCTGTTTCTTGTGAAATTGCAGATTGCTTTCTGATCTTTTAGAAACATTTCCTTACAAATGTCTTCAGGATTTAGCAGGGATGAGACAGAAATGTAATTTTAATTTATTTAAGGCTGCATAAAGATGGAAAAAGGAAATGCTGTGAAGAAGGCAAACGCTGTTTTTTTGGTTTTTGTTTTTTTTTTTCCTGAACCGAATTTCCTGAAATCGAGTGCTAATAAAACTGCTTCCAACTTCAAAACCAGTAAACGTGAGCTCATCTGAAGCCCAAGTCAGAGCAAATGCCATGCTCTGTAGAACAGTTTAAAATCCAGTCTTGGGGGTTGATATGTCATTTCAGTTGTTACTTTTACAAAAAAAAACCCTTCCCTGTGAGATGGGATTAAATCCTCCCGAACAATTCTGAGGTTTGAGCTGTGGAAAAAGATTTAAGTTGATCTACTCTTTACAAGGTACTCTGTTTAATACAATACAATCCCTAACATTAGGACACACTGCTAGCAGTCACGTGTCGATAGAGAGACAATATTTAAAAAAACTTACCCAAAGTGGTGTGGTTCACGGAGTATTACCTGCAGAGAGCTCCTATGCCCCAGGAGGGCTTCTGCGCACTGGGAGCAGGAGCACTGGGGGCCAAAACAGTGCCCCGCTCCTCCCTGGTATTTCTTGCCTTAGCAACTTCCTTTTTCACAGCTGTTAATTTAGAAGAAATGAAATTTCAGGTGTGCACTACTTCTTCACCCCTTCTGCCATGTAAAGAGGTAGAGTAACTGGAAAGGACTGATCAGTTAGAGGAGGGACAGACCCCTCAGGAGAAGGGAAAACATGAAAATTCTGTGTACTGTTCCCAGACATGGTAGTGTTTGTACATCAACATGTGGGACAGCAAGAGGGCTGCTCCTCTCACCCTCTTGTGTTCCCTCCACCCCACTTTCACACGTCCGTGGGAAAGACAAGGGCTTGTAGCGGCTCCACCGTAGTGCCCCGTGGGGATGTTCTCTGCACTAAATCTTTTGCAGGTAACAGAGAAAAGAGAAGAGCTGGTTTTACCCCAGTTCTGCTAATTTTGCACTCTGTGTCCCTGTTTACCTTCCTTTTTCTGAAACCCAGTGGTTTTGGTGCTGCAGCAGGGAGATGCAAGTGCCTTGGAGCGTGTGGGTGTAGTTAGTAGCACCTGGATGTTTCACAGCAATCGGATGTGTGCTCATGCCAAGGAAATTGAGAAGATGAATACCAAATAAGTCTCTCGGGCTGCTAGTGGCACTGTGGCACTGAGGAAGTGTCACATTTAGGCATAGTACAGTGCACCGTTAGTGGCTGGACATGCTCTGTACCTAGGCAGTGGACTTTGGAGGCTCAGGCGTAAGATTTGGCAGGATTTGCGTGCCAGCCCCGTATTTTCACAGCACTGCAGGGCTAACGTGCTTTGCGCTGCCGAGCATTTCGGGGAGCTGGAGCACCTCGACACATGCTTGAGTTTGGCAGCGCACTTCGGGGAGCCCGTGCGGGAAGCCTGCCGGCACCCGTCCCCTTCGGCGAGACTTAACCTCCACCTCCGGGCTGGACACCGGAGCGGCAGCGCGGTGCAGCCGGGAGCGTGGCACGCGTGTCCGGGGCTGTGCGTGGCCGTGCGCCCCCGGCAGACCCCGGCCGGACAGAGGGGGTCCCCGCCAGGCTGGGGAGAGAGCGGCCTCCGGAAAGGTGGGAGCTGGCGG